TGCTTTGATCTCCAGCATGCACTAATCTGCATGATATAGCATCATTTTGGAAGAAGCAGGCACTGAAAAATGAATACATCCAGAATTCAGAGGTACTAGCCAGAGAGTTGGCTGGCCATGATTGGGTACAGACATGCTATTCTACCTTTAAGTCTTAAACAACTCCCAGTGCCAAAAGGATGACTCTAATTCCTCTCAGAGGTTGGTCAGCTATTTCATTGAGGAGAAAATCACTGGCTCTAGGAGTAGTTTGGCTTCTGGGTCTCCTAGCTGGCACTCCACCTAATATTCTCAAGCACACCAAGGTTTACAGTTGTGAGAGGGAACTGAGTACCAATCATCACAGCCTGTTTAATGCCTGACCAGAGATGGCTAAACCCATCTCTCATCTCCCTAACTACCACTTGGCTAATCATTCCTCATGATCAATGGTTCAGCAGAATCAAGTTATCAGCAAATAATGCAAATAAAGGACTTATTTAGAGAGAATAACATTCTTTTGGTTAACCCCTATTTTGATCTTCTCAGGGAAAAAAATATATTGTTTCATGTTTTGGGAATGAGACTCCCCACTTCCCTGTACTAGGAACTGAACCCAATGGCACACTATCACCAACCTACATTCCCAGCCCTTTTTATTTTGAGACAGGGTCTCATTAAACTGCCTAGGCTGGCCTTAAATTTGTGATCCTCCTGCCTCAGCCTCCTGAGTAACTAAGAATACTGGAATGCACCACCAGGACTGGCTGGAAACAGGACTTTTGAATATAAGGGGCAGTTTACTTTGGTAAGATAAGCCTGCAATTTGAGTCTTTAAACTGACGGGAAATAAACACTTTGGAATCCAGAAATGTGGATTTATTTATTTGTTTATTTATTTATTACTTACTTATTGGTACTAGGGGTTGAACCCAGGGGCACCTACCCACTGAGCCACATCCCCAGCCCTTTTCTTTTCTTTTTTTTTAATATTTTTTTAGTTATAGATGGACACAATACCTTTATTTTATTTGTTTATTTATATGTTGTTATCCAGGGGATTGAACTCAGTGCCTCACACATGCTGGGCAAGCACCCTACCACTGAGCCACAACCCCAACCCATCTTTTTTTTTTTTTTGAATTTTATTTAGATAGAGACAGGGTCTCACTGAGTTGCTTAGGGCCTCACTAAATTGCTGAGGCTGGCTTTGAACTCATGATCCTCCTGCCTCAGCCTCCTAAGCTGCTGGGATTACGGGCGTTCATCACCATGCCTGGCTGGAAACATGGATTTGAATCTTAGTAACACTACTTATAACTGCACACTCTCAGCATCTCTCAAACCCTTGGAAGCTCAGTTCCTCAATCATAAATACGGAATACTAAAAAATCTTACCTCAAAAATGTGAAATTCAAAATGCTCTTCTAAATCACAACTACTTATCAATATACTGTATCGATTTTTACATGAGATAATTAAGGCTATACATTTTATTCAAGTACTGGGGATTGAAAAGAAAGGCTCTTAACTATTGMGCCACATCCCCAGGCTTGTTTTATTTTGAAACAAGGCCTCGCTAAGTTGCTGAGGCTGGCTTTGAACTCACAATCCTCCTGCCTCAGCCTCCAAAAGAGCTGGGATTGTAGGGATGTACCACTATGCCCAGCTAAAACTATACAATTTGAAATCACATAACCCCTAGAACACAAATAGTGGCATAAGAAATAGAATCACGGAGCTCAGTATAGCACGCTAAACTCATTATAGCATAGAGAAACCTGGCCAGAATCTATACTTCCTCACTCACAAACTGTGGAATCCTGGGAAACTTCTTTATTTCTCTAGTCTCTGGCTCATTTAAAATATGGAGTTAATACATCTAACACACAGGACTGCTACAAAGGTAAAGGGCTTTAAACAAGTGCTGATTTATAGTTAGGGCTCAATAAATAATAACCTTTTCTACTGGTAGCTCTTTCCTAAACCTTCTTTTCTATTCACCTCCACAAAGCAGGAGAAGCCATTTTAAAAAGTCTAAATTACTTCTCAAAATCTGGAGAAAAATCATGAAACCAGACAAAAAGAAAGGAATATGAATGAACTTCTATTCCAGACCATGTATCATGCTGACAACATCTGCTATTGGAAAACCCAGATACAATAACCTGAAGAATAAACCACACCATGTTCATTCTTTCCAAAGTATAAGAAAAGTACACTAGCTCCATTTTAGTCAGGCTACCCATTACTCTTATATAATCTGGGCTCAACAACAGAATCTAACCAAGCAGAAGGTGCAACAGAGAGCAACTTTGATGTCACATGCAAATCACATCTTTTTTTGGTAAGCCCAACCTTTAATTTTTCAGCTCAAACCCATCTCTATAATAAAGACTTCACTGACTGCCCCTAGCAGACTCTACTATTTGTCTCTTGTACTTGGCTGCACTTGTTACACACTTTCATGATAGCAATTATCTAGTGGTATTGTAATGGACTATTTGCATGTCTCCTCACTGGATTGTAAATTGGCAAAAATCCTGTCTCATCTTTGAATTCCTTTTTTTTTCCTTTTTTTTAGCTGTAGTGGGCCACAATACCTTTATTTTATTTATTTATTTTTATGTGGTGCTGAGGATCGAACCCAGTGCCTTGCACATGCCRGGCGAGTGCTCTACCACTGAGCCACAGCCCCTCATCTTTGAATTCTTGATGCATAACACACATAGATTCCTATAATTACATATTAAATGATGAATTTCACCTTCTATTTCACTAATGATGGCTGAGCAGAAACAGCTGGGGAGACATTAGAAGAAACACACAAGCTAAGGTCTGCCAGACCAGACCTCTGTTCTTTCTGGTGCTTGAAGGGGACGACTGTTTCTGCTTCTCAGACTTTATCTTAAACACACAAAAAAATAGAAATTCAGTTCACATAGAATTTCCAGATAATAGATTATATTCTTTCTCAGAAAATAAAATATGTAACAAGGTTTCTGGGATGAATACAAGTGGTTTCATATAAAGATGACCTCTAGCCAGGCACAGTGGTGCACGCCTGTAATCCCCGTGGCTCGGGAAGCTGAGGCAGGAGGACTGCAAGTTCAAAGCCAGCCTCAGCAACAGCAAGGTGCTAAGCAACTCAGTGAGATCCTGTCTCTAAATAAAATATAAAATAGGGCTGGGGATGTACTTCAGTGGATGAATGCCCCTGAGTACCAATCAATCCCTGGTACAAAAAAAAAAAAAAAAAAAATCCTGTAGCCTAACATTCTGGAAAATATACTACTAGTAGCTCTAAAGTCCTTAAACAATAAAGAAAAACTTAGAATCAAAAGTTAAAAAAAAAAAAAAGTCTTACATGAAAACCTTAAGTTCTTTTTCCTCTTCCAAAACTTCTGCTCTGCATCTCAATGAACCCTTATGCAACTAAATGTCTCTTTGAAAGAGATACATGCAACCTCTAAAAGGAGAGCCCATGACTAACAAACAATAAGCAATAACTTCAATACAGCATTTACTCTCCTCAAGGTATTTTCAAATATATCTCACAGAACCACAGCCAACTATAATCATAGAATCTTAAAGTAGAAGGAGCCCTGGAGGTCATTTCCACAACTACCCCACTTTACCAATCTAAAGGTATCCAAACATCTCTAGTTTCTAGTGTTTAGGAGGAAGGAGACAACAGACAATGCTTCAACAGACAGTGCTGGGACCAACCACCTGTCAGTTTCTCAGTYTCCTCCCCCACTTTAATGATCCCAATCATTTAAACTAAGTTAACCCACCATCAAGCAATAGTCTTTGCTTCCTAAGTCCACTTCCTTTTTCTGAGCTTCATCACCAAACTTTCCCCACTCTCCTCCACCAAATACAGACAGGGCCTCTAAGATTCTGACCCCTTAGAGATCCCACTGGTTCCATCTGTGACAACTGATCCTCTTCCTATTATTCTGTGCTGTCTTTATCTACATGCTGTCAAACACAAGACCACAAGCAACTCTAGCTATCACTGTCTCTTTAGCCTCAGGATTTTTTCCYCTTTCCTTCCTCACCTTCTCTCTGCTTCTCAGCCTATCTTTTCATTCCTTTCAAACTCAGTGACTCCTTCCTCCGGTGATTCAAGGTCCACTGATAACTGAATATATCAGTTGTTAAATGCTTATTAGATAGGAAAGGAGACATGCACTCTCAAGTTCACCTTCAAATAATTTATCTAACAAAAATCATAAACCTTTATGATTCAACAAATTCTAGGAGGCTTTCCCTAGCTCAAAATGAATTGGTGTCCTTTTATCAAGACCACCATTATATTTCTGATGCAATGCCTAATCTTCTTGTCTGTCTCCTGCCACTACACTGTGGGCTCTACATGAGAAGGGACCCTTGTGTCCCTAGTACTTTGCCCAGGACCCGGAACAAAGGTGATACTTAAGTGAATGGATGAATCATTCATTCATCCATTCATACAATCATTCCATCATCCATTTGTTGAACAAAACTTTATGTACATAGAATGTAAGGATGAAACTGAAATAGTTCCTACCTAAAATTAAATCAAAGCTATCATACTTGAGATTAGTACTTTTTCCCCCATCCGCATGCCCAACCCCCACGCCAAGCTTAGAGTCTTCTCCCACAGAGAAAGCCCGGCCTCCCATTGCAGAAGTCCACGCCCCTTCAACTCTAAAGCTACCTCTCAGACCTTTAGTTCTACCCTAGGACACCCCAACTAATAATCTCAAAATCTTAACACCTCCATCCGTCCAGGCTTTCTCTCTGTCCTTCATTTACATTCCTGAAGCTACTGCATGTCTTCTACCCCCACGACCACCTCAGGGCGCCCGAGTCAAGAGAACCTCAGATTTCCTTAATCCCGCCCCCCAGTCAGCTCCTTCTTCCCTCTCAAGACCCTTCCCGTTTATCCTAGGACCTCCTTTATCTAATGCCTCACTGCCCCTTCCTTCGCTTTCAGGCTGTCTCTTCTTCCCTTGTCTCTCAACTCCTCTTACCTCATCTAGTTCCCGTTCAGCCGCAGCACCTCCTCCAACCTCCACCTCCACTACTGCCGCCATCTTCAGGTTCACCCCCACCCTCCTCCCCGCGCAAGCCAGCTGCTTCCGCCGCTCATGTGCTCTTAGCCAATCAGCGGCGGGGACTCTAGCACGGGGGGCGGAGCACCAAGATTTGGGGCAGACCTGTCAGGGACCGAGACATTTTGCTACTTCTTTTAGATTTAGAAAGGAGGAGTCCCGTACATTTCGAAGCTTCCTCAGGAAATCGTTCTTGGAAAGTGAGAAATTTCGCCGACATTATTTTTAGTGCAATTATTTCTCCAGTTATTCCCTTTGGAGAGTCAAAGAGAAGAGCCCCTAAGCCAACAACTTTCGCGACACTCCCTGACGTGGGCTCCAGGAGCGCAGCGTGGAGACTCAGGACTACATTTCCCATACTACACCGATTCTAACCCGGAAGTTCAAATTGCGCTCTCTCGACGCGAGAATTAAAGTGAAAAATACACGTTAAAAACACAAGCGAGTGTGTTTTTCTGGCTGTAGCACCAGCTGCCTTGCCTCGATGGGAATTGTTTTACAGGAACAGCGGCTTCTTTAGGTTCCAGAACGCGTTCCTGAGCTTCAACGGGCCGAGTGTGTTACCGGGATCAGAAGGCGGAGGMCAGCGGACCAAATTGGCGGGAGAATGTTTGTGATCCACGACCAGAGGCGCGGTACAACTTCTTGAGGTTCATGGTCTCAGGTGAGGAGCGTTGGGGTTTGTTGACCCGGAGCGTAGTAGCCGAAGGTGGGGGTGGCATCAAAGAAGTGGACAAAGCAGCGTGTTCGGGATTCTTCAGATTCAGGGCAGCAGAGGCTGTCATTGCTATTTCACACATCTTAATACTCTTTCCTGCCCCACGTTCTGCTTCCCCAGCTCTTACCTTTACCCGCTTTCTGTACACCCCACCTCCACTTATACCTTCTTAACTGATTTTCAGCACCCTACTTTTCGTTTGTCTGAATTCGTTAGCTTGCAGACCTGTAACCCAGCTCACACGCCCCCTCAGCGTCCAGTCTGGATCTACTGATGATAGGTCAACTCCAGGATGACCTGTGAGTTCAGAAAACCTAGAATGCCAGCCGACTTTATTTGGGGGCCAACAGGAACTTACAGGTTAATATTTACTACCTACAGACATCTCAGTTACTTGAAACAATAATTTTTATTATGTGAAACTTTTTTTTTTTTTTTTAGTTTTTAGCGGACACAACCTCTTTGTATGTGGTGCTGAGGATCGAACCCTGGCCACACGCATGCCAGGCTAGCGCGCTACCGCTTGAGCCACATCCCCAGCCTGTGAAACTTTTATATATGGAAATTATTAATAGAATATTACAAACAATGTATTATCACACCAGATTGACTATTGATATGATATTTGCTTCCTGGTTTTKTAAAAGGTTAATATAGAAAAAAAATTGAATTTAATCTGTGTCTTTTATTCTCAGATACATTACCCTCTCATCTGCAATAAAAACAGATTTTATTATAAATTAGCTGTGTGTTTTATTCAGCCCATTTAAAAGAAATTATATGTGTATCCTTAAATGATACATAGTATTGCATTTTTTTTTCTTTTGTGGTACCTGGTATGGAACCCAGGACCTTGCACATGCTAGGCAAGTGTTCTACCATGGTGCTACATCCCAGATCCTGATTTTGTTTTTTTAATGAACACAAATGCTGTTTTCTGTGTATCACCCCCCAACTTAATTCTTTCACTATTATTTTTAAAGCCTATATAGATGTATATTTACATCCAATTCATTCCTAACCATTGTACTGTGCTCTTTTTTATGATATATAATATTTCCTTTGTCCATTCCTTTTTTTTTTTTTACTATCAGAAACAATGTGTCTTTATGCACATGTGAGTCCCCAGAGCTGCTGTTCAAATAAGTTAACTACTAGCCACATATGACTATTCTTGCAATGTGGCTCCTTAGAATTAATATGTGCTGAAAGTGTTTATGAGGGGAATCATTTCCCCACATTATTGCCATTCCTTTATGTTGTAAGATTGGCTGGGGTTATTGGGGGTTAAACTCAGAGGCACTTTTGCCATTGAGCTACATCCCAATCCCTTTTTTATATTTTTATTTTAAGACAAAGTCTCACTAAGTTGCCTAGAGCTTTGCGACGTTGCTGAGGCTGGCCTAGAACTTGTGATCCTCATTTCTCAGCCTCCTTGGCCACTAGGATTATAGACATGAGCCGCTGTGCCTGGCTATTATCAGACTTTTAAGTTTTTTGCCAGTCTTAGAGGAAAGAAATGATATTTGCAATTTCCTTATTACCAGGCTATGAGTTTTTCTATATGGGCCTTCGTTCATTCAGATTTCACCTTATGTGAATTGCATCTTCTACGTAGTTTTCTATTGGTTTGCTTATTCTTACTGATTTGTAGGTTTTAAAAAAATATACTTGGAATACTAGCCAAATTTACATGTGTTGTAAGTAACCTTTTTCTTAGCCATCTGTATTTTAACCTAGTTTATGTTGTCTTAAAGTATTGTTATTCATGTTTCCATCTTTGATCCACTGGTGTGTGTGTGTATATATATATATATATATATATAGAGAGAGAGAGAGAGAGAGAGAGAGAGAGAGAGAGAGACACGCACATATGTCATATATATATTTCTTTTTTATGGTACTGGGGATTTAACCAAGGGGTATTTTACCACTGAGCCACATTCGTAGCCATTTTTGTTTTTTATTTTGAGACAGGGTCTTGCTAGGTTGCTGAAGCTAGACTTGAACATGCATTTCTCCTGCCTCAGCTTCCCAAATTGCTGGGAATACAGGCATGGAGCACTGTACCCTGCTGGGGTATAATTTTTTTAAATAGTTGCAAGATAGGGATCTATTTTCATTTTTCTTTACATTGTCAACCAATTTTCTGAATACTTTGACTATATATATTACCTCATCTTTTTCTAAAAGAATTACGATCCTGCTCTATCTTACAGATGGTGGTTATGAGTTCTCATCTATACCAGTGTTTCTAGAGTCTATTTGCCTATTTCTATAGACAGTATGTTCTAATTACTATAACTTTATGATTTTTTCAAAAAATTTGATACCCTACCTCTTTCATCTTTCTTTTTGGAATCATCTTAGCAATTTGTAACCTTTAATTGATTGTTGAGTTTTCAGGTTGCCAGAAATATCTGTTCAAATTCTAATTGGAGTTATATAATATCCTCTTCTTTCAGTGAATATTTATTAGTGCCTACTATGTTTAGACCATCTCTGAGATGTAGGAGATGATGAACATGACAAAAATCCATATCCTCAAGAAGCAAGAAGGAGTATAGGGTAAACAGTTACAACAGCATTTGTAAGGGCTAGGAAGTCTGTAAGAACTTAATCTCTTGGGCAATTTGATTATCTTCTTACAAAAGATTGTATGTGTCATTCACCACTGTGTTTCCAACACCTAATACAATGCCTGATACCTACTAGAATCTCCCCAAATATTAACAAAATCAAATATCCAAAATCAACAACTTCAGGGTTCCCAAGCCACTGATTTTCAACACCTTGTTCTTCGTATGTCTGAATTCATTAGCTTGCAGACCTGTAACCCCAGCTCACGCGCCCTTTCAGCGTCCAGCCTGGATCTATTGAGTAAATAGAACCAGGATGCACCAGTGACACACACCTGTAATCCCGGCAGCTCGGGAGGCTGAGACAGGAGGATTACGAGTTCAAAGCCAGCCTCAGCAAAAAGCAGGGTGCTGAGCAACTCAGTGAGACCCCTGTCTCTAAATAAAATACAAAATAGGGCTGGGGATGTGGCTCAGTGGCTTGGGGGCTTGTTAAATCAGATATCTGTTTGATGGTAATGAAAAAAATGATGTTTTTCTATCACAAATATATTACAGGTAAAGCATCCCTTATAGGAAATGCTGGGCCCAGAAGTGTTTTGGATTTTTTGATTTTTCAGATTTTGAATATTTGCATATACTTGATGAGGATAACCCCCATTTTTAAACTGAAATTCATTTATGTTTTGTATATACCTTATACCTGAAGTGATTTTATAGAGTAATTTTTATACAGTAATTTTAGTAATTTTATACAGTAATTTTCATTGAAATCTGTCACAGCAGGTCAGATGTAGAATTTCCACTGTGACATCATGGTGGTGCTAAAAAAGTGGCATATTTTGGCATATTTTAGATTTTAAGTTTAAGGATGCACAACCTGTACTGTGAGTTTATCCAAAACAGACTATATCTAATTCTGATGTTTTCAATATCTCACAGAGAATAGTAAAAATTTGAATGTCCAGTGAATTCCCATTCTGGGACTAATCAGTTTCATAAATCTGGTGAACTTGCTGGGTGTGATGGCACATACCTGTAATCCCAGAAACTCAGGAAGCTGAGACAAGAGAATGGAAAGTTCAAAGCCAGCCTCAGCAATTTTGTGAGGCTCTGAGGAACTTAGACTCTGTCTAAATAAAAAATAAAAAGGGCTGAGATGTGGCTTACTGGTTAAGCACCCTGAGTTCAATTCCTGATACAAACAAACACACCTGGAGCCAATGGTGCACACCTGTAATCCCAGCAGCTCAGGAGGCTGAGACTGAAGGATTATGAGTTTAAAGTCAGCCTCAGCAAAAATCAGAATGCTGAGCAACTCATTGAGACCCTGTCTCTAAATAAAATACAAAATAGGGCTGGGGATGTGGCTCAGTGGCTTAGTGCCCATGAGTTTAATACCTGGTACCAAATAAAAAACAAAAAACACCTGGAGAACTAAAGAGGTGACTCAGGACTCATCCTTCATTCTTCTGTCTTTGAAGCCTTAACAACACATTGACCTGTTAGGAATGCTTGATAATTACGAGGTAGTCACTAAGAGTTTTGTTACTCCTGTTGCTGCAGACTATCCCACTGCATGACTTCAAGCCCTTTGGAGCTCAATTTTTCTGCCTCTTACATTGGGTATACAGCAACAAGTCAGACATGAAACCTGTTCTGCAAGTCTTTACAATTTGTCAAGGAACATAGGACATATATGATTGTTGTGTGAGGCACTCAATAAAGTGCTAAGTGAGAATTGATAGGATGGAGCTATCACTTAGAACTGATGAAGCAGAGGTAAAGTGAAGTTTGATCACTAGAATGCATTCAATTTGACAAGTTGGAAAGCGAACTGTCATAATGAGGAGTCTGAGGAGGTCTGAAGGAGCCCTCTAATTAGAACTTCCAGGTCCTTGGCTCCATCACAAATAAGAATTTTAGTACAGAGATTTAGTAAAGAGAGGAAGAGCTTTGTTATAAGGCAAAAGGCAAAGGTCTACTCCCTGCTGCAGGCAATCTCAAGAGTGAGCCACATTGCCAGGGCTGAAGGTTGGATTTTTGTTAGGGTACATAACTAGGTGGAATAGTGTATGCAAAAGGATTGAACTTCCCTCTGGGATTCAGAATTATCATGTTTCCCTGTGGGTTTGGAATGTAGGTTTCGAATACATGAACATCTCTGGTGATCACTGGATTATGGTTCAATCAAATGTTAGCTCCTTTCCCTGACAAGATTAATGATCTCTTTCTGTTGAGGTTTTGTTCCTGTTTTGCTATGTTCCAAAAAAACTGATAGGGAACTGGAAAGTTGAAAGTAATTTGTGGACTATTTAGTGCATCCTTACATTTTGACCATTTTCTGTCCTTTAGTCTCCTTTATCCTGCTCATTAGACAGTCTATGAATTATTTGTTCTATATATTAATAGGAATATTTTTCCTTTAGAGACTTGGTGTTCCTTCTGTATCCCTAACTTTCTATATCAGAACAAGCAATTCAAGCAGAGGTAATGGCATGAGCAGAGTCTTGGAGGTAGAAAAAAAATTTTGGTTGGAGATACAAAAAAGGATCTTTATGGCCAGGAGTATATCTAGGATCAGCGAGAAAACATGAATAAAATGAGCCAGCATAAATATTTAAAGAGAGAACTCACTGAAATACATTCAGATAACTTTAAAACATCTCTCACCAAGGAATTGTTGAAGCTAGGTGATGGATGCATCAGTTTGTTATACTAATATGTGTGCTTTTCCATATACTTAAAATTTTCCTATAAAAAGTTTAGCGAGCCGTGCACCATGTTGCATACCTGTAATCCCAGCAACTCAGGAGGCTGAAGCAAGAGGATTACAATTTCAGCCTCAGCAAAAGGCCCGGAGAGGTAGAGCAGCACACCTACAATCCCAGAGGCTGAGGCAGGAGGATCACAAGCTGGAGGCCAGCAAAAAGGGAAAGGGGACTGGGGGTATAACTCAGTAGTTAAAGTACTCCTGAGTTCAATCCACAGTACTGTTCAAAAAAAAAAATGATAAACAATTTAAGGGGCAATTGGTACTCTTAGGAACTCATCTACATATAAATCCAACATTAACATTAATATGTTTTGTACTTGCTGCTCTCTTGCCTTGATGTTGCACTCCAGTTATTTCACACTTTTCTGGAATCTCATTAGATGGTTCAGATCTGCTCCCTGCCCATCACCCCCACTAGGCCCAAAGTAGTAATCATCAGAAACGGGCTGAGGGCTAGAAATATAGCTCAGTGGTATAGCACTGGGTTTGATCAAGGCCATGGGTTTGATCCCTAGGAACACACACACACAAAAAAAAAAAAAAGAAGAAGAAGAAGAAGAAATAAATGGACTGATGGCCTCAAAAACTCATATAATTAGAGAAACAGCCATAATTTTTTTTTTTGTCCTTTTCTTATGGGCTTTTTTGTTTGGTAGGTTGGTTGTCAGTATTGGGAATAGAAGCTAGAGGCACTGTACTACTGAAAATACATCCCCAGCCCTTTTTTTAAATTGAGACATCTTCTTGCTAAGTGACTGAGGCTGACCTCAAACTTGAAATCCTCAGCCTCCCAAGTTGATAATAGTTTATTTTTCTTTTTGTTTTTTTCTTCAGGAGTAATGTGAAGATTCTTGTTCTTCTGGAAGCTGCTAAAACCAAAACATAAACAGTGCCAAAGTGGTAACAGAAGAATTCTTGAGATAAAGCATTTTTGCCCTGTACTTGGACAGCTGATAGGCCTGCCATGGCTCCTGTGAAGATCAGTCATGTGGTATCATTTTCCTCTCAGGTATATCAATCAATAGGGATGTTTGTTTGTTTGTTTGTTTTCCTTGATGACTGAAAAGAATGAACAAAGTAGGAGATTTGGCTCTACTTCAGGAAACTCCCAGTCTAATAGAAAGGACATGATGCCTTCTCTGGGAATCCAGAATCTAAGGGAAGAAATAGTTCTTGCCTTCAGGTTGTTCCCAGAGCAGTGCAAGAAACCGATAGAAATGTTCCAGGACTTGGAAGTTCCATAAAGGAGGTACCTCAGGATTCCACTAATAGCTTAAGGGTGCTGGGTAGATCCTAGGCCCAGAATCTGCACCAGGGTCCCCAGAACAACCATTTGGTCAGTCTTGTCATTGAGAGCAGACCAGAACACTCAACATCATACCTGACCTGTGATATCATGACCACTGTCAAGTGTGATCTCAGCCTCTTCCCTAAATGTTCTATAATTCCCATTTAGAGCTAAATCCCAGACCCTGAGCCCTAGCATTTCCCACATTTTCCTCTATTATCATTGCTCTACCCATTTATTCCTCCTCTTGTGTTAACTCTGGTCTTTCTCCAGAGGTGCTGTGGCATTTCAGGGGATAAGTCTACATTTTACAGCAATATTATTTGCATGGTGGGATATTTAGCATCCCTAACCCTGTGCCCCAATAACAGTATTGCTTATTAGTTATTATGATAGTCAAAAACATCCCTACACATTTCAGAAATACCCTTAGAGGGTCTTTAGGAACTACTATATTAACTTCTAAGTAAAATAAAACAATAATTACACTTATCCTGCTTATCTTCATAGTCATCCTGAACAGTTTTCTTCATAGACTCGTAGTCTTATAAAAGCTAGAAGCTAACCATAACACATGTAAAATAACTTAATAAAACTGAAGGTACTCAAGATCGTATTATCATTTTTAGTATTTAGACTGTGCCTCCTGCATTAGTCTCTTATTATAAAGCCTTCATAGAGTTTGCACATTGTGCTTTTGGCTCTTGGTCCTGAGTACCACTGTGAGCCCAGAAGTGTAGAAGTCCATAGCACAAGGCTATTCTAGGGACACACAGTTACTCCTGCACAGGTGATACTTAAGCTAACTTGCAAGACATCTTCCCTACCCAAGTCTTCATGGTGCCAGTAATCATTTATAATTCATTATATTTACTGAGCCAGTTGCAGTGGCACATACCTGTAATCCCAATGGCTTGGGAAGCTGAGGCAGGAGCATCGGGAGTTCAAAGACAGCCTCAGCAACTTTGTGAGGCCTTGAGCAACTTAGCAAGACTCTGCCTCAAAATAAAAAAGTAAAAAGGGCTTGGGATGTGGGTAAGTGTCTCTAGGTTCAATCCCGAGTACCAAAAAAATATATATATATAATTTTTTTCTTTTCTCTGATAACTTTATTATCAGAAATCAGCTCAGGGGTTTTCCTGCTATGATTGACAACTGATGGGATTCAAAAAAATCAAAGTGATTTTGAAAATCTCTTATGGCCCAGAGAATAAAACATCCAGTTTGTTTTAAACTACTGTTAGATTTTCTTTAAACTATAGTGGAAGATCTTTGGATAGGCCCTATCAATTATCTTTGGACTGCCAGAAGAACTTTATATTTCCTTTTTAGATGGAATGTATTTTGTGTGAGCAATTTAAACAAATAGTACTAACAGACTGAAATAAAATTTTAGGTAAGACTGATTCATTTGTATTTAAAAAAAAAAATGCCAGAAGCTGGACATGGTGGCACATGCTTGTAATCCCAGCCATTCAGCAGGCTGAAGCAAAAGAATTGAAAGTTCGAGGCCAGCCTCAGCAATTTTGTGAGACCCTGTTTCAAACTGAAAAATACAAGGGGCTAGGGATATAGCTCAGTGGTAAAGCATCCCTGGGTTCAATCCCCAGTACAACTACATAAATGATGAAATGAAGTAATTATTTAATGAAATGAAGTAATAATAAATGAAATGAAGTAATTATCCATCTTCCAATATTGTGGTTTCCAACCCTACTCTGTGGGGGCCAACTTCTAGAAATTGAAAGGAGGGAGGACAAGTATGTCTCTAGGTATCCCCCCAACCTTGCTTTAACCAGAGCTCTGCTTCTATTTGTTGAAAAAAATATTAACACACACATAACGTGCTTCAGTATAAGATTTCAGTTAAAAAAAGGGATTTGGATATAGTTCAGTTGGTAGAGTGTTTGCCTTGCATGCACAAGGCCCTGGGTTCAATCCCCAGCACCACCAAAAAAAAAAAAGGAGGGGGTGGATTTTATTGCTGGAATAACATCGTTAGAAACCATGTGTCTAGGGCTAGGGATGTAGCTCAAGTGGTAACGCGCTTGCCTGGCATGCGCGGGGCACTGGGTTTGATCCTCAGCACCACATAAAAATAAAATAAAGATGTTGTGTCCACCGAAAACTGAAAAATAAATATTAAAAAAAAACTAACTCTCTCTCTCTCTCTCTCTCTCTCTCTCTCTCTCTCTCTCTTAAAAAAATTATAAAAAAATGTGTCTAGCTTCCCCACTCTCCTTATGGATGAAAAATTTTTGATCCAAAGAGGAAGTAATTTGTTTAAGGCCTCTCAACCAAAAAGTATCTGACTTTGAGTTAAAACTCAGAATTTCTTTCTATGTAAATATATCACTATTATTGTCTTGGAATAATCACTTTATATATAAGCATCCATTGTAAACTTAGAATAAAAATCTTTGGGGCTGGGGATGTGGCTCAAGCGGTAGCGCGCTCACCTGGCATGTTTGCAGCCAGGGTTCGGTCCTCGGCACCACATACAAACAAAGATGTTGTGTCCGCCAAAAACTAAAAAGTGAATATTAAAAAATTCTCTCTCTGTCTCACTCACTCTCTCTTTCTTTAAAAAAAAAAATCTTTGCCCTTTTAGGATTGTTATAAAAATAAGAAAATGTCTGAAATAGCTGATAAATCAAAGACATTAGTAGAGAGTAATGGTTAAAAGCTCTGGTTTTAGAAACCTGCTTTGGTTGGTTATCTGGCATGAGGCCTTGGGTAAGTTTCCGAGCTTCCCTAAACTTCAGTTTATTGATTTACTAACTAAGAAGTAATAATAATAAACATGTAGGATTAAATGAGGGAGTCTGGTAAATAGATAGAGGTAGATGGTATCTAAATATCTTGGTACATGGTTCCTGTGTTACTGTGGATTCCCATCTGGTGCCTTTCTATAATATTAGGGTGCCTTAAAAGACTAGGGATCATAGGGATGCCTTATTCATGGGCATATTTTTCCCCATAGACTTAGTAAAGTTYCTGATTCTCTCCTTCTCTCTCTGACTTAGGATCCCAAGTATCCTGTGGAGAACTTGCTGAACCCAGATAGTCAGGGGAGGCCTTGGCTCAGCTGCCCTCAGGACAAGAGTGGGCAACTGAAAGTGGAACTACAGCTGGAGAGGGCAGTGCCCATTAGCTATATTGATGTAGGTGAGTGAGTTCCCTGGGGCCTCTGAGGTAAGACACTGGAGTGATATTCCCCTCTAACCCCACTACTCAGAGGTCTTAGTTCATTCCAGCCAAGCAGGCTTCTGGAATAAACCCTGCACAGGTGTGAATGAGAAATGTGGTCTTTGCCCTTGGAGCAGATTTGGTATTGGAGAACTCCATGGTCTCCATTCATATGGAATACAGTGTGAATGGAGCTCCTAGAACTATGCAATGTTCGGCTTTGATCTGTGTGATCTGGGTAAAGCCTTAGGACATTGGCCTAATTATAAATGCCAACAAATAGAATTTGTATACACCTCTAAATATTAGTGTCTGAGGATTACTGGTAAGGTGAACTGTGCATAGGAAAAGGTTGACTGTAGAATTCTTTGAAATAGAGAATTGACAAAGTCATCTGGTGCCAACTTTGTTAGGACAGAAAGATGTTGGGCTCCCTAGCAAGGATATAAGAGAAACAGAATTTGGCACTGCTTTCAGGGCCCAGGACAGGGAAGCAGCAAGTCTCTGCCGGATCTTCCCATGGTCATTTAGTGTAATTCCATGTTGTAATGTAGCCTGATACAGAACCTTTATGTTATCATTAAATTATTGGTTCCTTGTGTGACTCTACATGTTGCCAGACCTTTCTGACTACCTGCTAGTTTTAGAGTGAGGAATGTCCTCTTCCCGTCCAGTTCCCTTGTGTATAATTATTTCTATCGCACTTATCCTTTTCTCATCCTTTTGTCCCCAGGTAACTGTGGCTGTGCTTTCCTGCAAATTGATGTGGGCCGTTCTTCCTGGTCCCTAGACAGACCTTTCATCACCCTGCTCCCTGCAACCACACTAATGTCCCTCACTGATTCAAAGCAGGGGAAGAACCGCTCAGGGGTCCGCATGTTTAAAAATGGTAAAGAGGGCAACAGCAGAAGGGGGGTATGTTCCCAAGTAAGAAGGATGCAGTACTAGAGAGGATGTAAGTGCTTTGGAGTATAGATTGTGGGAGGGAGCCTGTTCAAGGGCTTAGTTATCTTAGGCTACTTCCTAAGAAGTAGATTAATTAGTGAGTGACATGCTTGTATGTGAATTCTTCATGACGAGGATGCCTGATAGCTGAGGATGTTTATTAGCTACTGATTGATTGATATTTCCCATGACTTGTAGGGTCTGAAACAAAACACATGTTAATTACTATGTTTTTTGTTTATATAAATGTATATAAGTATAGATGTAAGTAGCAGAAGGCTACATAATGGTTATATTTTATGTAGCATATAGTGTTTCCTGAATTCTGTTTATGTAGATATGCTCAGTGGGCACTGCAAAAGAAACATAGGATTTGATTCCTGTCCTCTAGGGATTTAGAGCCTAGTAAAGATTTGTCTGTGTTTAAATTGAAGGTGTTTGCAATGTCATAAAGGTAGAATGATACTGGAGGGGCATGTGACGTGGAGAGAATGAAATCCTGACTGGATAGTGTTAGAAATTAGAGTTGTGTTAGAAATTAAAAGAGTTTGTAACATCAGTGTTTGATACTATGAGTGAGTGAATGTGCAGGACTTATAGCATCGTGAGAGAGGTTGAGGTCTTGTGGTTCAGGAAAGGTTGATATCTCAGCTAATCCATGAGCAAGCTGATTCCCCATACCCTAGCAACACAGATGCCTCTTGGTTGATTGAGATATTGATGAGGTCCCTAGAGAGTTGTAGAATAAGGATGTACCCAGGCTGGAAATGGTGTGGAAGCATAAAGGGGGAGTGATGGTCAGAAGGCAAGGAACTGGGTCTGAAAGAGCCCCGACAGGACTACTTGGTATTACCATTCCCTGAGCACCTAAACCTGAGGGGAATATTTACTGGTCATCTTCATTCTTCATCCTGTTGAAATTTGCTCTGTATAACCTGTCTTCTCTTTCCTTGGGATAAACTTTCTTTTATTTTTTCCCTCCATTAATTCATTTTCCCCCTCAGTTTGTTTCTCTTTTTTCCTTGAGATGATTTCCTGGCTCCAGCCTCAGGAGAATCATGGGATCGACTTCGCCTGACTTGTTCCCAACCGTTCACACGTCATCAGTCCTTTGGCCTGGCCTTTCTGCGGGTGCGTTCCTCTCTGGACTCCTCAGATGACCCTGTGATGGATCTCTCAGTCCCTGTGAGCTCTGAGCTAAGCCAGGTATATACTAGGGTAGAACCAGGATTTAGTATTTTCCCTCCCTTTGAGGGTTTTGGGTTAGAAAGCTGGTGCTTGATTGAGGGGTAGACACACTGCACACAAGCACAGGTGGGCATGCTGCCCTTTCTTACAAGTAGGAATGAACTCTTCCCCTTCTTTCCCTTACACAGGGAAGTGCAAGTGAGTGAGCCAGGTTCCAGGATTGCAGGGCCCAGAGCTGACGTGAATGGAGCTAAATCTCCATGACCCTGGCCTTTCAATAAAATGGAAGCTCTGTGAAATTAGGGACCTGTTTGTCTTGTTCTATAAATGTATTCCTGGCACCTAGAACATTTCCTGGAACAAAATGGGCTTTTGGTAAAAAAGTTCATTGTGTAAATGACCCTTGGAGGGGAGTTGCAGATAGTCACATAAAGTATTATTATTCAAACCAAGACACTTTAAAGGCACACACCTATAATCCCAGCTACTCACAAATTCAAGATCACAAATTCAAGGTTAGTCTGGGCAATTTAATGCCTGTCTCAAAATGTTTTAAAATGGGCCAGGGAAGGCCCAGGAGATAGCTTAATGGCAGAGTGTTTGCCTAGCATTCTTGAGGCCCTGGGTTTAATCCCCAATACTGTAAGTAAGTAAATAAATAAATAGATAGATAGATAAATAAATAAAATTTAGGAAGCCAGGCATGGTGACACACACCTATAATCCCAGCTGGAGGCTGAGATAGGAGGGTCTCAAGTTTGAAGCCATCCTCAGCAATTTAGCAAGATCCTGTCTCAAAATAAAAGGGGTTGAAGATGTAACTCAATGATAGAGTTCAGTTAGCCTGGGTTCAGTCCCCACTACAGAAAGAAAGAAAGAGAAAGAAAAAATATTTACAGGACTGTCCCAGACAAACCAGGACATATATATGATCACCTTACTTTTCAGATAAATAAGGGATTTCCAGAATTTCTTTCATTTTGGCTGTTGAATTACTCTGCACCTCCACAACCTTGATTGGCTTGCAAGAAAGAAAGTTAACAACTCCAGAGCCAAGTCAGTAAGGCACTGAACAGTGAATAGAGTCAAACACACATGTAGTTACCGCATGAAATCATAAGAAAAGGCAGAGACTTGGAAACCATTGGTGATACTCAGTTTTATAATTTTAAGATATCTAAAATGTCATAGGCCTTTTTTTCTATAGTGTAATTCTAATTGGTATATTAGAGTGAAAGCAAAACATAACAGCTTTTAACCTTCTGAAATAGAGTTATATGATCACAAATATTCTAGTAAGAAAATGGGTCACACTCCTAATTCTTGGAGAGGATTTGAACCCAAGCTGCTTGACTCCACCTGGCCTGTGCTCATAAGCTAAATTCTAATGATCAATCTCATGTAGAATTAAGGTTAAATAATTATCTCCAAACACACATCTAGTTAGTTACCCTTTCTAGTAGTATTCACTCTAAAATTCATGTGGCAGGGCTGGGGATATAGCTCAGTGGTACTCTAGAATGTATTAGACTCTGAGTTTAATCCCCAGCACCAGAAAATATAAGATAAAATTCATGCAATTATGTAAAGAAAAAAAACTAAAATCCTCAAAAATTAAACAAAATATTTTTAAAATAATTCTAGTTTATAATGACAATTAGAAATAGTAAACATTGAACATGTGTGAAGACCCGAATTGTTGTGAATTTACTTTATATACAACCAGAGATATGAAAAATTGCTCTATATGTGTAATAAGAATTTTAATGCATTCTGCTGTCATATAAATAAAAAAATAAAATTTAAAAAAGAAATGCAAAAAAAAAAGAAAGAAAGAAAAGAAATAGTAAACAATGTGAATAAAAATACTAATTTTCAAGCTTTCAGAATGAGGTCAAGTCATACTTTATAAAAACATTTACCTTTAGAAGAATCCATAATAAGCCAAATGAAGTGGCACATCCCAGCAGCTTGGGAGGCTGAGGCAGGAGGAATATGAGTTCAAAGCCAGCATCAGCAACTTAGCAAGGCCCTAAGCAACTCAGTGAGACCCTGTCTCTAAATAAATTACAAAAAAGGGCTGGAGATGTAGCTTCTTTCTGTAGGGCTGGGGATCAAACCCAGGGCCTCACATTGCTAGGAAAGCAGCCTATGACACTGAGCCACATCCCCAACCCAATTATTCTTTTTAACTTAAGGGAAAAAAGGAAATTTGAAAAAATAAAAAGGTCAATAATGACAGGTGCATTTTTTTAAAAAATATTTTTAGTTGTAGATGGACACAATGCCTTTGTTTATTTAGATTTTTTATGTGGTTCTAGGGATTGAACCCAGTGCCTTGTGAGGGCTAGGCAAGCATTCTACCACTGAGCCACAACCCCACCTCACAGATGCATTGCTTTGACAAAGAATTAGAAACTGTAGTGTACTACCTAAATAAAAATCTATGTAGAAATGATCATGTGATATCTATATATGCGCACATTTATACATATATATACATATATATAAATATATGTATATAAACATCTCTTTATAGGTAGCTAAGAAATGATGGCCAAATGTGGTAGGCTTTTATTGCACATGAACAAAATTGTGCACAAAATGAATCATACTGTTAATTAAACAATATTATCAAATAAATACATACATATTATTTTTTTCTCTCAAAGATATATAGACGGCTCAGCGGTAGAGCGCTTGCCTACCATGTGTGAGGCCCTGTGTTCGATCCTCAGCACCGCATAAAAATAAATAAATTAATTAAATTTAAAATAAAGGTATAAAAAGATGTATAGAGATGAATGACTTAAATCAATTTTATATATGGACAATTAAAATATACATGTTTTTGAAAGTTTGAACATGACAAAAGTTTGCAAGTGATATCAGTCTCTATAGCCCTGTTTTTTCCAGTAGGTGTATTTTTTTTTATCCATGGGGGTTTTCATGGTCCTGGCAAAACTCTTTGCATTGGAGAACTAAATATACAAAATCATAGAATCTTATATCATAGAACCAGAAGAGAATTTGAGAGTCTGCACACATCTGCCAATATACCATGTATAAGTTACAGCAGATACATTCACTAAGGTGAGTTCCTAGGTGACAGTGTCCCCTGGTGGTGAATCTTGATATTCCATATTTCTCTGTTCTCAGGGCTCTTCTGACACTCAGGAGTCGCATCCTCAACCCTGGCTGGCTAATCCTTCTATCCGGAGGACATTCTTCCCAGAACCCCAGACGTATGTAGTTGCCAGAGCAAAGATCTACCAGTCACTTCTCAGATCTTTCTCCTAGAAGAGAAAGGCTACCATGTCACTCCCAAGCACACAAGCCCAGCCTGGGTTTCCCTAATTAATCACATCTCTCTCAGCCTAACCCTACCCATATATCAAATTGGCTTTCTCACTAGATGCCAGCAACTTGGGTGAGCAGAACGGGATCTGTGTTCCAAGTGAAATCAGTAACTCTTGTTTCTCTGCAGAAGCTCTAAGAAGATTTCAGAGCTCAAGGATATCCTAAAGCAGTTACAACCAGGGACTCTGGGGCGTTCAGCCCATATGGTGCTTTCTGCAGCCCGCAGGGCACCTTCAGCCAATATGGCAAGCCCAAAGAGCAATCATGCAGAACCAGGTCCCAGTCTTCCAAAGAATGCAGGTAAGGCCTAGTAACCTGCTCCTTAATGTTCCTAGCAATGTCCTTCCTTTAATCCACCACTGCTGTACATGGATGGCTCACAAGTAGTACTTCATGTGGAAGAAAAAAAACTATTGTCAGCAGAGAAGAGAAGTCAAATAATATATAATGATTGAAAGAGCACTGACCTAAATCAAAAATCCTTATCTCTTTGGGCCTCAGTTCCCTTGTCTTAAAAGTGAAGGGATTAAACTAAATACCTAGACTTCTTAGAGTATCCTTATTCTGTGGTCATCTCAGAAAGACAATTGAAGAGTGATGGGGTTTGGAGTTTATTGGAGAAATARGGTGGCAGAATAATGTAGTTTAATGAGAAAAGAAGAAATAATTAAAAGATTCTTGGTAGGGCTAGGATTGTGGCTCAGTAGTAGAGTGCTCGCCTAGCATGCATGAGGCACTGGGTTTGATCCTCAGCACCATATGAAAATAAATAAAATGAAGGTATTGTGTCCATCTACAATTTTTAAAATATATATTAAAAAAAAAGATTGTATCCACCAAAAACCAAAAAAATAAATATTAAAAAAAAAAGACTTGGGATTCTGTTTTGCACCAGATATTGCTAGGCACTTTTACCAACTTTACCTATTTAATGTTCACAACAAACTTATGTCCTCATTTTACAAAGAATGTAAGGTTCAAAGAGGTTACATTTTTGAGTCACTCTAACATTCTGTTCTTTTTATTTTTCGAAATAGCAAGAAAGAGAAAACCAATAAGGTTATCAACAAAAAGTTAAAAACATAGGATAGTTTGTTGTTTCATTGGGAAAATTTTTTAAAGGAAAAGGCTTGCCTATCATTTCAAAGAACTAAACAAATTAGTGAAATAATGAATGTATAATTTTATTGCAAAAATAGGAAATATTGATTCTTTTTTGTTGTGTAACAGATTACCTCAAAATCATCTTATGGTCTGTGATGATTAGGAATCCACTCATGGCTTAGGTGGGTCCTGTAGCTCTGGATCTGTCACAAGGCTGTAGCCGTCTCAGTGCTCAGCTGGAAAGGACCTGCTTCATAACCCACACACATGGTTGTTGGTCAGATTCATTTCCTCATGTGATACTGGACTGTGGTTCCTTCAATTCCTTTGCTATCCAGGCACAATGGTGCATGCCTATAATCCCAGAGGCTCAGGAGGCTAAGGCAAGAGGATCACAAGTTCCAAGCCAGTCTCAGCAACTTAGTGAGACCCTAAGCAACTCAGCAAAACCCTGTCTCTAAATAAAATATTTAAAAGGGCTGGGGATGTGGTTCAGTGGTTAAGCACCCTTGGGTTCAATCCCTGGTACAAAAAAAAAAAAAAAAATTCCTCTGCCATGAAATCCTCTCTATAAAGTATCTCACAGTGTGGTAGCTTGTTTCATTAGTGAACAAACAAGAGGGCAAAATGGAGTGCCAGAGAGAGGGAGTGTGCACATGCTACAGCCTGTTGCAAGAAACTGACAGATTATGTCATCCCATCACTTGTGTCATATGCTGTTCTTTAGAAGCAAGTCATTAGGTCCAGGCCACACTCAGGGAGAGACATGAATATCAGGAGACAGCAATCAATGGGAGTCCTCTCAGAAGCTGTCTTCCATATAATGAAAGACATAGTTTATTATTTTAAGAGAAGGAAAATGGAATGGAACCAACCATTTTGGGACATTTACTACATACTGAGCTCCAGGGCTATAAAAGCACTTTGATATTAAATGCTGTACAAAATGTCTCTTAAATTCTGAATAACTAGACAGATGACAGTTACTAAATTTTATTATCACTCATTGACAGATATTTATTGAACATTTCTTACATGCCAAGCATGTGCCACAGTTATCACAGTAAATAAAATAGCAATGATTCTACCCTGATGAAGAGATACGTACCCATATCACACAAAGAAATCTGAAACTAAAATAGTGATAAGTACAACGAAGGAAAATCATAATAGGATGATTAGAATTAGATTAGAGAATCCAGGAAAAACAACTCATAAGAAATAGCATTTCATCTAAGACTTGAAGAGTGAGAATTAACCAGGCAAAGAGGGTGGAAACAGTATTCTTCAAAGAAGTACATGATATGTGAAAACCTTTTGTGAATGAGCTACCTTTAATGAGCATTTCTAACACAGTGCCCAGAGCAGAGGAGGAGGACTCAGAGAATGATGTTGTCAGGACAAAGAGACGAAAAATGCAGGACCAAAGGTAAGTAGGTCAATGTGAAAGGCCAAATCACCTCCCCAAACCTTATCATCCTTCTACAGCTGTTCTCCACCCACTCATGCGTCAGGTAGGTCAGAGAGCACCCTTGGGTCTTGAGCTCTTAGTCTAGAACTTAGAAGAGAAACGAGTACTTGTCCGTGTGTCATCAGGCAAGAAGGCAGCCCTAAAGGGAGCCAGAATCTGTWGATGAGTACACTGCGTCTCAAGGATTTCATAAAAATTTAAATCTTTTCTGCTTCAAAAGTCATTGTCAAGGAAATAAAAAGATATTCCATTGAATATGGGAGAAAATATTTGTATATTATATTACATATTTTATATATATMTCTTAAATATAAAATATATAAAGAACTCTTCTAAATCAACAATACAAAGATAACCTAATTGTAAAAGTGGACAAAGAGGGCTGGGGTTGTGGCTCAATGGCAGAGTGCTTGCCTAGAATGTCTGAGGCACTGGGTTCGATCCTCACCACCACATAGAAATAAATAAAATAAAGGTCCATCAACAATTAAAACAATATTTTTTAAAAAATGGACAAAGAATCTGAAGAGAATTTTTTCTCAAGAAGATGTAAAATGACCAATAAACATGAAAGATGCACAACTTCAGTCACCATCAGAGAAATGGGATGACTAATTAAAAAGATGGACAATAACAAGGGTTAGCAAAGATTTAGAGAAATTGAAACTTTTATAAATTACCAGTAGGAATGTAAAACAGTGCAGCTTAGACTGAGAACATAGCTCAGTGGTAGATATTTTCCTGGCATTCATAAGGCCTTTGGTTCAATCCCCAGCACTGGGGGGAAAAAAAATCAAAGTTAAATAAAATAGTGCACCTGCTTTGGAAAACAATTTGGCAATTCAGAAACCTAAAGATAGAGTTACCACATGATTCAGTGATTCTATGCCTAGTGTATACCCACAGGTATTCACATAACTTATATGTCCATAGCAGCATTATTCACAATAGTTAGAAAGTAGAAACAACCCAAATATCCATCAACTGGTGAATGGATAAACAAAATGTAGTGTATATATACACAATGGAATATTATTTGTCCATGAAAAAGGAATGGTTATAGTTACTTGAAAGGCTGAAATGCTGAAAAAGGAGGTTTACAAGTTTGAGACCAGCCTAGGCATCTCAAAATACAAAATCAAAAGGAATGGAATATAACTCGGTGGTAGAGTGCCCCTAGGTTCAATCCCCAATACCCAGGTGAATTTAGTATTTTAGATGTATTGTATAATACCTGTTCTAATATGAAAAAACCTTGAAAACACTGAGTGAAAAAAGTCCATCACAAAAGACCACATGTAGTAGGATTCCATTTATACAGAATAAATAATAAATCCATAGAAACACGAAGTATATATAAGTATTGTAGTACAGAGGAATGGGGAGTCGCTGCTAATGGGTTTGGGATTTCTTTGGGGGGGTAGTAAAAACCTGCCAGAATTAGATATAGTTGTGGTTACTTGACTTGGTGAAGATACTAAATTTACCTGTTGAGGGTGGGTACTGGGAATTGAACCCAGGGGCACTCTTCCACTGAGCTATATTCCATTTCTTTTGATTTTTTATTTTGAGATGCCTAGGCTGTTCTCAAACTTGTAATCCTCCTTTCTCAGCATTTCAGCCTTTCAAGTAACTGGGATTATAGACTTGGCCCACTATAGCCTGCCAAAATTCACTCTTTTTTTGGGGGGAGGAGGTACTGGAACTTGAACCCAGGGGTACTTTACCACTAAGCTACATATATTCTCAGTCCTTTTTTACTTTGAACAGGATCTCACAAAGTTACTTAAGCCCTTGCCAAATTGCTAAGGCTGGCCTTGAATTTGCAATGCTCCTGCCTCAACTTTTTAAGTAGCTGGAATTCCAGGGTATATTACTACACCTGACCAAAGTTCAAATTTTAAAAGGATGTCTTTCTGGAGATTACCCATATTCTCCTGTAAATATACTTCTACTTTCCTATAAACCTGTGTCTATGCTTTTTTGTGTGTGTGGTGTTGAGGATTGAACCCAGGGCCTTGTGCATTCGAGGCAAGCACTCTACCAACTGAGCTATATCGCCAGCCCTCTGTCTATGCCTTTAAAAAAAAAAAAAAAAAAATGAAGGGCCCAGCATGGTGGCACTTATCTGTAATCTCAGCAACTTAGCAAGACCCATCTCAATATAAAAAGTAAAAAGGGCTGGGGATGTGGCTCAGTGGTTAAGCACCCCTCGGTTTAATCCCCAATACTAAAAAAAAAAGCGGGGGGTAATGTTATGGTATGTGTATGATACATCAATTAAAAAATAATTAATGGGGCTGGGGATGTGGCTCAAGTGATAGCGCGCAGGCCTGGTATGCGCGAGGCACTGGGTTCAATCCTCAGCACTACATAAAAATAAATTAAAAAGATATTGTGTCGGGCTGGAGATGTGGCTCAGCGGTAGCGCGCTCGCCTGGCATGCGTGCGGCCCGGGTTCGATCCTCAGCACCACATACCAACAAAGATGTTGTGTCCGC